GTGAGAAACCCTGGTGTAGGAGGACTACCTTTCAGTATTGGAGATACTCTTAATCCTTGTCAGAAGAAAAACATTCTTAGTTCAATTTCTAGTAAATAAATAAAGCTATACACTAGCACGGATAGGCCAACACATATTACAAGAACACAATGCTATGTAAGTTCACAGTCTCTTACATTCTTCATCCATTCTGCTAGATAGGTAGGATAGGTAGGTTGATTTATTTTGAATTCATAAGAAAGCGAGCATTTTTTCCTCCTGTAGATACTGCATCTGAGTATATGAGATCTAGAGAGCCATTACAAGTACCAGTCACACTGTGAACATTACTTGACAATCAGTTAATTGTTTAATGGTTAAAAATTTAAGTTTAGGGAAATGAGACAACGTGTGTACAAATTCTTAACACAGTCTCCTTGGATACAGGGACAGGGATCAGTAATAAATTGGACCTATGGGGGATGCAAATTCATAAGCGCTGTTTAAAGGTGCTTGAAGACAAACACAAAGAAAATGAAATCTGAATCTCCAACTAGTACCTATGTTCCAGTAAATTCTAGAGGTCATGGCTAAAGTGCTCAAAGAGAAAATGAAAATGAAAAGGTTTTAAACATACCAGGTATGTAATATTAAGGCAGGAAAGATGAAAACTGAAGTATCATTATTGCAATTTTATAAATGTTTCAAAAGACAAGAGTGTTTTAAATTCCATATTCTAGGAAAGGGACTAGACATATAAGTGATGCCCCTCTGCAGTCCAAATTATAAGAATTACAGTAACAACTGTCCTACCTCATGATGAATGAAAGTGGCCTGGGTAATAGAGATGGAGGCTGGGATATTGTGAAGAAATGGTCCTTGATCCATCTTGAGTTAATTTTTACATATGATGTTAGATACTGATCTTACTTACGTTTTTCTGCAAATAGATATTCAATTTTGCCAGCCCCATTTATTCAACAGGCTGTTCCCGCCCACCACTTAATGTGTTTAAATTCTCTATCAAATAGACTGTCCATGAATAGATGAATGAACTCTTGAGTTCTTAATTCTCTTCCATTGGTCTGTGTACTCTGCCATTGTACCAGTACCAGGCTTTCTACTTTGTTTTTCTTCTTCAATACTTTTCTTATTTTGGATCTCTTTTTTATAAGAAGTTGGTGATTAAGTACTTCCATATCTTTAAAGAATGATGACAGCATCTGGATCAGGATTGCATGATATCAGTAGATTGCTTTTGGGAGTCCAGATATTTTCACAATATTAAGTCTTTCTAGCCACGAGCATATTGACATCATACATGAATAAAGCAAAAAGAGGCATAAAAAATGATGTAAAGAAAGAAAAGACTAAAATGGATGTCTGAAGAGATTCTGAAACTTCTTTTTTTAAGCATAGAGAAGCTGAAGTGAAAAGAAGAAATGATGAAGTAAGAAAACTGGCCAGAAGTTTTCAAAGGAAACATCTAGAATACAGAACAAAGTGTTACAATGAAATGTGAAAAGACTTGGAGCTAGGGAAACAACAATAGAAGAACATGCACAGCATTTATCAAGTTGAAAAAACTGAAGAAAAGAAATTAAGCCTCGTGTTGCAATATTGAATGATGTAGAAAGTGTTAAAAATATGAAAAGATGCCAAAAAATAATTATAAATGACTTTACCAAAATATAAAAAAAAGCATTGTACCAATAAAGTTGGTTGATACACAATCATTTCAGGCGATACGTGATCAAGAAATACTGGTAAATTTAATGGCTATTCTGAAGGCATTGACAAAAATAAAACTCCAGGAATGGACAGAATACGAATAGAGGTGTTTCAGCAAACAGATGCAGCCCTTGATATTTCTAATTTATCTGTGCCAAATAATTTAGAAGACAGCTAATGCTTCTGGAGGGAAGAAAATGTGGAAATTAATGAATAATATGCAAGCATAATCTTGCTGAAGGTTATTAAAAGGTAGCTGAAGCAACACATCTAAAGGAAACTGCCAGAAACTCAAGCTGGGTTCAGAAGAGGTCATGGAGCCAATGGATATACTTGCTGCTGTCAGACAGATCTTGACTGAGAAAAGAAGATGTTTGTGCTTTATTAATGATGCATTTGACTGTGTGAATCATAATAAAACATAATATTGAGAAGAATAGAAATTCTAGAATACGTAATCATACTCATGCAGAACTTGTATGTGGAAAAGGAAGCAGTGGTTCAAAAAGAAAAAGTATAGCACCTGGTTTAAAACTAGGGAGGATGTATATATGTCAGGGTTTAAGAGAACATCCCATAAATGGCCAGGAGAACAAGCGGACCTGTCTTGGAGAGGGTGCAGGCAGAGTGTTCTTTGGTGTTAAGAATGATGAGGCTTCGCCTCACACACTTTGGGCAGGTTGCTAGGAGGTGCTATTCCTTGGAGAAGGACATGGTGCTGGGAAGGGTGGAGGGTCAGTGAAGGAGAGGAAGACTCTCAACCAGGTGGATTGACATGGTGACTGCTACAATAGTGTGAGGATGGTGCAGGATAGAACAGGGTTCAGAGCTTTTGTTCATAGGATTGTTATGAGTTATACTCAATGGCACCTAACAACAACAATAATTCAATTTGCAAGCTGAGCAAACAATTTGAGAAGTTGAACGATATGTGGAAGAATGTGGCCGTAGGAGAAGAGGGAGACTCATCAACAACTTGGGATCTGCAGATGACACAACCTTGCTTGCTAAAAGTAAAGCAGATTTGAAGCATATTTTCCTTTTTAATATTGTCAGGTTTTATTGGTACCAGGCCTCAGTATCAGGGTTATGTTTGTTTCATAGAAAAAATTAGAGGGTATTCTATCTTTTTCTATATTCTGAAATATTTTGAGTAAAATCTGTCAGCTTTTCCCTAAATATGTGGTAGAATCCATTCGTGTAGTCATCTGTGTCAGTATTTTTGGTTGAGTTTTCATGTAGCCTGTTGAATTTCTTTTGTGATGAATCTGTTTACATTTACTCACCGTCTTCTGCGGCCTTTAGAGTCTTCTCTCCAAGACCTGTCCTTTATCTCCAGATCAAGTGTTTTGGGATACGTGTAAAAAAATTGGGGCTTGGATTTGGAAAAGAAAGTTAGTCGTAACAGTATGACTCAAAGTATATGGGAAAAGATGGGCTTTAATGACATTGAAACTTATTCTGGGACCACAGAATGTCCATCATCTGAATTATTTTTTGCTCCACAATGAGCTTTAGCAGAGTAAGGTACTCTTTTTTGGAAGCAGAAGCGGCATCCACTTCCTAAATAATATGCCTCCGGAAACTCTATAAACTTTGATAAATGCCCTCAGGCCTTTTGTTCATAGGGTCACTATAAGTCGCACTCAAAAGCAATCAACGACAACAAGGTATTCTTTGGAGGGGAAGGAGCCACTCCTTGGAAAGGAAATTGATGATAGGAAGGGTGGAGGGTCAGTGTAGGAGGGGAAGACCAGGTGGATTGACTGCCTCAATGGGCTCTTGTGTGTCAGGAAGTGTGAGGACAGCACAGGATAGAACAGGTTTCAGATCTTTTGTTCATAGGATCACTATGAGTCACACTCGACTAGACAGCACCTAACAGCAGCAACAACAAAGAACAAGATACTCTTTAAATGATACTTTATTATATGATTTGAGGTAGAAAAACTGGATTTCTATTTTTCAAATATTTATCTATCACATAAAAGATAATAAATCCAGATAGTTCTAATAATGTAATGTTTTCAGGATTTTATTTTCAAAGTTTTATTCTTTCGTTTTAGGTTTTAGCTAAAGAAGATATTGATACAGCTGTTCAGTCAATATTATATAAAGAACATTATATAATTAAGGTAAGAGTCGGTACTGGTGTATGTCTTAATTAAAAATTATTTCCCCCCTCGTTTTAGATATAGTGCATCCTCATTATAAAAAAATTAGAAATGAGATAGATAAAAAGCTACTCAATACTACCTGAGATTGACGTTAAAGAGATCTCTGATAACATTTAATTCACTTACCTTATACATTATAGGGGTTCCTTCACAGATACAAGCATTCCCCTTCTTTGTTCCTTCATTTGGATGGGTGGTGCAGTGGCTACGTGCTCAGTTACTAAGCAAGAGGGAGGCGGTTTGGACCTGCCAGCCCTGTAAACAGAATATGTAGCAGTCTGCTTATGGAAAGATTTACAACCTTGGAATCCTCAACTATCCAATAGAGTTCCTGTAAGTCAGAATCAACTCTATTGCAATGAGGCTTTGATTTACATATAGTTAAGAACAAGGCTTTAACTGTAGCAGGATAGACTTAATTCAGTAAGAAGCATGTCCAGATGAGGTATGCAAAATTCCAAGATGAAGTACAGCATGGGTGACCTGTGTTTGAGATTTTTTTTTGCCTAACAGTTTTTTTTATTAATGTCAATGAACATTTACAGATATTTTGGATTTCCATTCATTCATTGTTGCACTT